AATCCAGGAGGGTAGAAGGAAAAACACATTTCCTCCCCTACAGGGACAGTGGAAAAGGGTAAAAGAGGGATGTGAAAGGACAGGAAGAGCGGGGGACCTGTGCCTAGAGAAGCGTGCACACAGAAGCAGGGCATGCAACAGAGCCTCTGAAGGTCCTCAGTGGTGCAGGCTTGTGATTCAGACATCCTGATTCGGGAGAAAAGCTGGTCTTTGCTTATTCTAAATGAAGTGTGGCAAAGGTGTTCTGATGTTTTTATTTATTTTTTATTTTTTAAAGATTTTATTTATTTATTTGAGAGAGAGAGAATGAGAGATAGAGAGCACGAGAGGGAAGAGGATCAGAGGGAGAAGCAGACTCCCTGCTGAGCAGGGAGCCCAATGTGGGACTCGATCCCGGGACTCCATGGCCTGAGCCGAAGGCAGTCGCTTAACCAACTGAGCCACCCAGGCTCCCTGTTCTGATGTTTTTAAACACAGACTAACCCAGGGCACGGAGGGGAAGGATGCCCACCTACCTGTGGTAGTGAGAAGTCCAAGACTTCTAATATCTTCTGTTATAGAAGATATTATATTTCTTCTGTAATAGAGCAGCCTAGAAAGGCCCAAAGATACCAGCAACCAAACAGATTCCCCACAACAAGCAGAAAACACAGGGCATATGCTCCCCATCTTTTGGGGGAAATGACCATCAGCGTAAGAGAAAGTGAAATGTTCAAATGAACATCCTAAAAACCTTTCACTTTTCCTTATATGAGATAAATACACTTGGAATGTTTTCTCATGCTAACCAAGGGCACTTTCCTCATTTAAAAAAAAGATTTGCAAGAACTATTGTAATTCTAGCAGGCTAAACTTTCAGCAATCTCTCAATCTAATACACATCTTAACAAAATTACAAAATTACATTTTGCTGAAATAAATGAATGAAATCACATTCATTTCTACACAAACAGCTTTGCAATGCAATTTCATCATTGTAAGATGCGGAGAAATGCCATATAAATGCATAATTTTCACTATCTTCTTAGCTCTATGAGCTACCGTGTACTTCTAAGGAGAAAGTAGATGCTGTTTTATTCTGGAAAAACAGAATCTCTCAAGGTCAAGATAGGAAGCTGATAAAGAGTTCTGATGCCACACACCTTACTGGCTTCCTCAAGCAGCTATCCCATAAACCTACGTGGACACAGTATGAAAAGATGGGCTTGGTCTCTTCAGCCCACTAGGCATCTACCAGAAACAACAGTTAGCAACAGCACATCTGGATGCATAATTCAAGTACTGATGGTAAAAGCACATATATTCAGACTGTATTAGTCCAAAATGTAGAATAATTTTCTTCAATTTTACACATTAAAAATTCTAAATTATTCTTGATCCTGTAATTTTTCAGCAATGAATTCAAGTAGTAGGGCCTAAAATTCAGTTCTTTTTTCATAACAACTATATAATATTTTAAGAATGTTTCTTTTAACTTATAAATTTTAAAACTGTGAAAATTAGGTAAATCAAACTATTCATGAATTATAATTTTCAACAACTTTTCAAGTTAGTTTTACTTATAATATGTACTTAAACTTCTTTATCAATACTTTAATAATTAAATTTATTTTCTTTAAAAATGCTGTTCTCCATTAAGTCAAATTAGCTCTGCCATCACTATTTTGAACAAATAAGATTTTAATATTCTTGTATCGGCATATACACACACATAGTTTATTACACTTTTAAGAAATGTACTACACCCTGGTCAATTCTAAAAGTAGAAATATATTATTTGAATAAGTAGTTTATAAAATGTGATACAAAGACAAATTACACTATTTACTGATACTGCTGGACTAAAGCAATACCAATCCTGAGGCATTCTTGTCAAAATAAATCTAATGAAGTTGTCAAAATAAATCTAATGAAGTGAAATGTTGACAAAAATTCTCTGTATTGAACATTCTATCTGAACACTAAATATATGGAGTATTAGTCCGTTTATTGACTAAACTTGAACAAAAATTTTCCATATACACATTTAAATATTTAGATTTCTTATAAAAGTGTATGAAAACTATAATCAAAAGCAACAGTACAAAATACACATAAAAGATTAAAAGCAAGCAATAACAAACAGTGATTATATGAGGACAGAATACTATTCTCCCTCTATTTTCCATTTTTGTAATGTTTTGCTTAAAGTTTGGAAAAGTGTATGTATTTTTAAGCAACAGTCTCTCACATCAAGAAAAGAATTACAGGGGCAGTGGCCTTTCCTAAAATGACAAAGCAACACCCTTGGGCTCATAGTCATACTAAAGCTGGCAAGATTTCACATTCCTCAGCACACAATGGATCTTTCATCAATACTGGAAACTGCCTTTGTGAGAATATTTGCTAAGAATGGATGGAATTCTCAATGTTGCAAGCACCCATTGAATTATTCAAAAGAACAATGAATGAATGACTAATCAGAAGTGTTTCTTGAAATCAGGGATATTTATATTCCAAAAAAAACCCCCTAAATCTAGCATTGTCTCCAGAACAGTTAGGAAGAACAGATTAAGTTTGTTAACTATGGGCATTGGTTCCCAAATGCTTTGCTATCAAAACTGTTAGAGTTGCCTTTTTCTTGACCAACTAATAATTTTAAGTCCTTCTTGACTCATAAATATTGTTTGCATGTTTGTTGATATGTACTTTGCTCCACAAAAGAAAACTTAACCAACAATGAAATGAAATTTGATCCTCAAAGTCTCCCTTAACCCAAAAAGAGAAGCACTTTCGTTTTTCGTTTTTCTGGTTTTTTAAAATTACTTATTTATTTAAGTAAGCTCTGTGGCCAACGTGAGGCTCAAACTCACAACCCCAAGATCAAGAGTCACATGCTCTTTGGACTGTGCCAGCCAGGCACCCCAAGATGTACCTCTGAATGAGTAACTATAAAACTACATAAAGATAATTTAGTATTAAGTTAAAAAAAGTATGTCTCAAAAATTCATATACATGATAAGGTTAAAACCACTTAAAAATACGTATACTCTGGGAGAATATAAGGAAATAATAAACACTAACTTCAGGATGATGGTTAGCTTAAATGAAGTATGGCCATGGGATGGATTAATGAAAAGGACAACACAGTTAAGGTTATTACCAGTGTCCTAGCTTTTGTTTCATGGATTTTGTTTTGTGTTTTTTGTTTGGTGGCAGATTCCCAGGTGATTATGATACCATTTTAAAATAGAGATGGATGAAAAAAATAAATGAATAAAATAAAATAAAATAGAGATGGAGAGATGGCCAATAGATGATTGATAGATAAAGTAGAACAAGCATGGACCAATGATAATTGTATTATGAACCAAAGATCACTAAACCTGAAATGAAATAACAGGAAATGATCCAACACGATATGAAGATAAAAATTCTTTACAGCATGTAGACTGACAACCAAACTACAATCTCTGGATCAACTCAAAAGTCATTCATCCAGATTTTGTAACTTTCTTCTTCTACTTCACTAAACACTTTCAATTATGCTGCACAAAGTGACCTGTCAGACCTTCTAACATCACCAATGGACTTCTGCTCAGAGAGTAGAACCTAAAAAGAAAGGGGAAAAAAAGTAGCACAGAGGAAAAGCTGCTGTCTCACCCACAGACTCTCTGGAATGGGGCTGACAATGCCCACGAAGCCTGAATAGGCAACTGGTAATTCTTATCCATACTGTCAATACTTATTAAATGCCAAGTATATGTCAAATGTCATGAAAGCACTAGAATCCTTCAGACTTATGATTAGGACAGTCCTAGCAGATAATCCAGCCCATCACCTTCCAGAGCCCAGAATCCACATATCTTCAGGTCAAAAAATCAAGAGAGGACAGTCACAGTGGAAACAGTATGGAGGTTCCTCAAAAAATTAAAAATAGAAATACCATATGATCCAATAATTCCATTCTTGAGTGTTTACCCAAAAACAAAAATGCTAATTTCAAAAAGACATATGCACCGCTATGTTTATTACAGCATTATTTACAATAGCCCAAATATATGGAAGCAACCCAACTGTCCATCAATAGACAAATGGATAAGGAAGATGTGGTAAATATACAACAGAATATTCCATAAAAAAGGATGAGATCATGCCATTTGAGACAACATGGATAGACCTATAGGGTATTATGCTAAATGAAATAAGTCAGGCAAAGAAAGACAAATACTATATGATTCTACTCATAAATGGAATGTAAAAAACAAAACAAAACAAATGAATAAACAAACAAAAAGCAGAAGCAGACCTATGAATACAGAGACCAAAATGATGGCTGCAGTAAGGGAGAGTCGGGGGGGGGTTGGGCAAAATGGGTGAAGGGTGGTAGGAGATACAGGCTTCCAGTTATGGAATGAATAAGTCATGGGAGGGCGTCTGGGTGGCTCCGTCAGTTAAGTGACCGACTGTTGGTTTCAGCTCAGGTCATGATCTCGTGGGTCATGAGACGGAGCCTTGCATCAGGCTCCCTGCTCGGCAGACAGTCTGCTTGAGATTCTCTCCCTCTGCCCCTCCCCCCAACTCCGTGCTCTCTCTCCATGCTCGTTCTCTCTCTCTCTCTAAAGTGAATAAATCTTAAAAAAAAAAAAAAAGTCATGGGAATAAAAGTTACCACATAAGGAATACAGTCAGTGACACGGTAACAGTGACATATTGGGTAAGACGGTAGCTACACTTGGGGTGAGCACAGCATAATGTATAAACCTGTCAAATCACTGTGTGTTGTACACCTGAAACTAATGTAACACTGATGTCAACCATACTCAAAAAAAAAAAAAATCAAGATAACTTCAGGTATTTTATTTGGCTGCTTACCTACACATGCAAATGCTGAAGCAGCTCATTTATAAAGTAAGGTTATAAGTTAAAAGATTTCAAATTTCTATTACAAGAATTGGGGATGGGGAGATTATTTCTTCAAAAGATGAGATTTCACATGGATGTGTTGCTGTTTATTTTACCTGCTATCTCCAAAAGTGAGTTTACATGATCTCCTTCTGCCAGCTTCACAAATCCAACCTGATTTCCGAAAGTGTCAATCCCCTGAAAGGGCAAAATCAACTGTTTTCCTTGGAGGATTTCTTCTATGAATGGTTTTAATTCCAAAAGAGCACCTATACCACTGGTAAGAGATAATATAATTTTCAGTAACATATTAAGTAATAAAATATATAAAACCAATCAGTTTTAAAAAGATAAATTTTGATATTTGTTCTAATTAAAGTTCAAAAATAACTTCAAAACCTAATCCATATGATTAAAATAAAACTATTATTAATTTTTTTTAACTTTTTTTATTATGTTCCATTAGTGAACATATAATATATCCATTAGTTTTCAATGTAGTGTTCAACGATTCATCAGTTGCGTATAACACCCAGTGCTCATCACAACACGTGCCGTCCTTAATACCCATCGCCTGGTTACCCCATCCCCCACCCCCCTCCCTTCTGTAAGCCTCAGTTTGCTTCCCGGAGTCCAGAGTCTCTCATGGTTTGTCTCCCTCTTTGTTTTTAAACAAAAACTATGGAACAAGTGAATTAAATCTTTACTTAATTATAATTTATATTATATTAAAGACATGAAAGAAAATACCACTTTATAGTTCACGAAGAAGTTTTTAATCAAGGGAACACTGCACAGACAACTCAAAAAAAATTACTGATCATATATTCCAAAAACCTAATACCAAAAGAACTTATATTAGATTCTGTGGAAAGTTCTGGATTCTTATTAAAAGTACTAATACAGTATTTATTCTATTTACTTAGGGTAAATACTATTTGCAAAATACTCTACTAAAACTTAATATTCATTATCTCTTTAACTATAATAGCCTCCGTAACAAGGTAATACTGTAACTGGATTAAACAAAATACAAACTTATATTTGCCAACTACAACCACATAAGTTTATTTCTGTTTAACCTATGTGATTATAGGACTACTCTGTTTCAAATGCTTTCTTTTTCTTCATAATAACAAATGTTTACTATATGAATGAATTAAACATGATCAGGTTTGGAATATTTTGAAAATTAGGATAAATTGTTTCCATCTTTAAGAGAATTCTGGTGTAGGTATGTTGTTATGAGAAAAAAATTAAAATCTCACTAGAGGGCAGCAATTACTCCAAAAAGAAGGGTACAGTCTTACATAATGTAAAGGGCTTTAAAACACCCTTCTGTTGAAACATCGTTAATTTAAACTGTCTTGATCAGTGTGATTTGTTCACCAGTAATTATACATCAAATGTGTGAAAAGAAATGTAGGTATTTTTCTAGCTCTTTCATATTTCTAAATTAGTTTTCATATAAAGTTTGTAACAGATTTCATCCATAACTTCATACTGAGTTTCAATTCTCATCTATGCCGTAACAAAATGTACAATACTTCAAAATACCTTTGGAAAGGTCAACATTTCTCATTGTACCTCCAAACCCGCATCCTAAATCCAATCTTTCCTGATTGTATTTATGTTCATCCAAAAAAGACACAGTGTACATACGCCTACTGCAAGACTGTCCTTCAGTGAGTGCTGGGAGTTAGAGCATGTGAAAGTTGAATGGCCACTTCTGGCTCATCTTTCGTAAACTGGGGAATTCAAGATACTCATTTTAAATGTAACTATGTACAACAGCAGGCCATGCTAAAGGTTAGGGCTCTTCATAGACAGTGAATTCTATATGCCATTTTTCATTGAAGAAATATAGATGATCTAAACTCAGTCCAGTTTCAGTTTTTTTCAGTTCTCTAGGAGCATAAACCAATAAAGAAGTCCCAATGAGATGCCACTGATCACAGAGTAAGAAAAAGTCATAGTGTCTATTGGTAAGTATCACTAACTTTCAAATTCTTTTAAATAGAATATCTTTTCAAGATTGATTTATAGAAAGACTTCTTTATGGTAAAAAGGGTAAAAAGTAAATGCATACACGAAACAGAACTCTGAAACTAGAGTTCAGACCCAAAGGTGTATTTATTTGCAATTAAGGCAGGACAACCATCTTTTCAACTCAGCAGCTGGGTTTGACCTTACAAATTTCTATGCCTTTCTTCTACATCATGAGGGCAAAGGACCTGAGGTGGTATCTGAAGAAATTCATGATTTAAAAAAAAAAATTTTTTTTTTAAGTAATCTCTGCACCCACCACAGGGCATAACCTCACGGCCCTGAGATCAAGAGTCGCATGCTCTACTGACTAGGCCAGCCAGGTGCCCTGAAGAAATTCATGATTTTAAAAAAATGCTTCTGCATGCTCCATACCCAACCCATTGGTCAATATATCATTAAACACCTAAATAATGATACTACATTTTGAAAAGTAAGAACACAGAACAAGGAACTGATAATATAGATGTCAACATACTATACAGTGTAGGATGAAAGGTAAAGTTAAAAGATTAGAGACTTAGAAAATCCTTCTTATAAATAATGTTTTACCAGAAAACCCAATCGGTTTCTCTCTCACTATATAGCTACCCAAAGTGAAGTCACATCTTGATTCTGTTCCTTATTTAAAAGTTAACACTGCTAGGGCACCTGGATGGCTCAGTCCATGAAGCGGCTGACTCTTTTGACTTCGGCTCAGGTCATGATCGCAGGGGTCCTGACATGGAGCCCCGTGTCAGGCTTCCCACTCGGCAGGGAGTCTGCTGGAGGATTCTCCCTCTCCCTCTGCCCCTCCCTCCTCTTGCATGCTCGCTCACTCTCTCAAATAATATATCTTTTTAAAAAACAAAATAAAATAAAAAATAAAAACTCTGCCACAGACACTTCCCTGGCTTCCCAAACTAGTAGCAAATCTTTACTTCTTTGAAATTCCATTAATACTTTATATCTTATGAAACATACCAGTTTTTATGTTTTTCTATTATAGTTATTTGAGTTCATATGGTATCTAGTCAACTTAATTGTATAATCCATGAGCATAAGAGCCATCCCTGATTCATCTTCATTTTCCCCAAAGCACTTAGCTCAGTATCTTGCACATGACTGATAATTAACGCTGGTTGAGTTGCAAAACACTGTCTTGTCTGTATAGCAAACCTCATTATTTCTTAGATTTTTTCTATTATAACTTTTGTCAAGAAGAATTACTAAACTGCAAATATCTGGTCATCATCTTCTAGTAGAGAGAATATTCCCAGTATCATAAAGTTGCATAAGGATGCCACTTCAAACACAAAGTTGACTTGCTAAACATTTCATTTTTTCACAAAACTAGAAGTATTTGCAAAAAGCCCTGGTAAAACACAGGCCTGAATGCCGCAGAGTCACCATGCTCTCTGCACAGGAATTCTTCAACATGTGATGCTATGACTTAGGGCAAGACGACGCTGCCTCGTTCAGGACTGTCCCATGTGCTGCAGATGGCTTAGCAACCCTCACTCCTGCCCATCAAATGTCCACAGCACTCCTCAGTAATCTTGACACCCAAAAATACCCCCCCAAATATTTCTAAAAGTCTCCTGGAGAAGGCAGTCTTGCGCCCACTGAGAAATGTAAGCAGTATGATACACTGGAGGCATACCTTCCCCTTCACCCCAACCCCACTGGACACCACGTGCTCATCAGTAGAGGCCACCAAGGCGTAGGGGCCATTCATGCCTGTGCAGCCTGATCTTTCCCACTTCTCTCATGCCCCTGTGCTCATCTTCTCCCTCCCATCTCCACCCCACCCTTCTCTTTGTGCCTGCCCATCTTTCACACACACACCCCAGGGAGTACTAAGAGAACTGACTAGTTCCGGCTTCTCTACTGACCAGTATTTGCTTAATTACTAGGGCTCTTGCTTCCTCATATGTATAAGGGAGACGGCATTTCTGTGCTGCCTCCCAATACCATTAAGAGAATAAAAGGAAATAATACCTGTATGGGGGACAGAAGCTGGGGAGCCGAGGCTGACAGAGACATGCCATACGCCATGGCCAAGACCCATTTCTGATGACAAAGATAAACCTAAAGTTACTGATCAACGGTGACTCAACCTTTGCTGGTTTAAAAAAGTCTCTTTGGGGTACAATTATTCAGTTAATTCAAACCTCCTTTCAGGAGTTTTTCCCTTCCCTCTCTCCTCCTCCTTCCCAAGGAATCCAGCATACCCTTCTAAAAGAACTGAGGAAGACCTCTCAACTGCTTGCTGTTTGAGTCCTCAGAGAGTCCCATTTCGGGGGGACTGGTCTGGTCATATCCCTGGGTGCCCTATATCAGGGTCCATGACAGCATGCTTGCTCTTTCTGGGCTTTGTACCAGCAGGTACTGCCGAAGCACAAGATCCCCGCCAGAGTCTCTGATCAAGAAACATGGATGTTCAGCAGTGTCCTCAACCCTTACCTAGCTCCTGATTCACCAATTCTTTCTGAGTTGGACTTCCAAGTCCACCCACCAGGGCACAAGAAACTTCTGCATCCATCTTTATGTCTTGATAGGCAATGCGGAATTGAAGGAACTTCCTCAGGTCCGTCTGTTAGAAATCTTCCTCGACTCTAATCTACCACCTATGTGATATGTGACACCACATTCTTCTAGCATTAGTTAAACAGGAACTTCTCCAAAAAGCTTGAGTTTTCCCCGTACACTGAGAACCCCAAACCAATGTGAGTGTCTCTACCATTCCTAATTCTCTGCTCCAGCACTGGTGGGGGCCAGGCTTGGAAAGAACATTCAACCCCAACAGGGGAGCCAGAACATTGTGTTTGCCTTCATGCCTTGAAGACTCCACCTAGCACTGGAGGGGCTCCATACTCATTCCCACCCAGGATAAGAAGACTCACAGCAGCCACCTACAACCCTCCTCAAAGTTGTCTGTGCTTTCACTGACCACACAGAAGTTCTTTTGAATTTGTTGCTGGTTCAGTGTCTACCACTTGCCACCCCTTACACCAGCTCACCAAGAGAAAAGACTGAGGTCCCCCAAGAAAGAAGGAATTCTGCCTCCAGACTGCCTTGGACTTGAGACTATATCAACTCTTCCCTGGATTTTGGACTTGCCAGCCTCCACAGTCACATGAGCTAATTCCGTAAAATAAATTCCATATGTAAGTGTAGATACAGATATGTCGAGATATCAACACATCTAGATACCCATACAGATATACATCCTGTTGGTTCTGTGTCTCCAGAGAACGCTGACTAATTCACCGTTCTAACACACACAGGGCACCACTCTTCTCTCAGGCTTTCATCTTCTCCTTCTTCTTTGGCTTCTTTTCCTTTAAGAGCATCAGAGTATTTATTTGTCTTCTGATTGGCAAAGTGAACAGTGAAAGTGAGGCAAGTAAAAAAATCTTCCAGGCCTCTCTGCAATTGCAGGGTGCCCAAGACCTGCTCTTGGGTAGATCAGGTTGGAAGAGATCAGAACACCGATCTCTAGAGACATGAAGGTCTACTGTTTAAAAGACATAACTACAAAAACCATAACTTGGCTTCATATTTTGAGTTACTAGTTCATTGTTTTCTCCCTTTCCCTCACCCTCTTCCCAATGCAAGCCTCGTTCTTCATTCCCTCAGGAAACTACACGTCAGGGTAGAAAACAGAAGTGACCTGCAATGCATTCTGATTCTGGTTTTCCAAAGAGCTAAAGCTTCAGCTTAATCCAGAGAGATATACAGAAGGTACCAAGGAAAGGAGCAATCATACGTACAGACAGAGTATCCCAGAGAATTGGGGGGGGAAGACCAAGGTTTTGCCACTCCAGGCTGAAAAGCAGCAGCCAATGACTCATACCCAACCTTTACGGCACAACTCTAGAATTCGAATTGGGCAGCATACAGGTACTCTAAGATTGAGTAAGGTAAAATGGTAATTGTCTACTGACCTAAGGGAATGGCAGTTCTAATGACTAACAACACCGGCTGCCTGCATGTGCCAGGCCCTGTACAAGGAGCTCTTACGTGTACTGGTATATTATTTTTCCCGTTTACTTAAAAAGTGGACAATTTGCCCCAAATCAGGCAGCTATTCAGAGATGGTTGTGCCATGGTTCCAAAATCTTTACCAAGAATCCTAACCTAAATGGTCAGCCTCCAGAGTGCTTACATGATTAACATGGGCAAAACAACTGCACGACCAAGGGTTACTATTTGATAACAATAACAGAGTTGAAGAAGTCTAAATTAGGAGGAATATTTGTATTGTTAATTCGGTACATTGACTATTAGTTGGAACAAATTATAACAAAGAATGCTTCCTTAGAATTTCAATGCCTCTGGGTTCTGCTATGTTTACTCATATTAAAGTAGTAACTTGAAAAGTGATATTCAAGGAAGGCATATTACTCACATGTTTACTTCATCTTCACTTAATAGCTGCATCACTAGCAGGGTAATATGAAAGGAGCCATCACTGGTCATTGCTTTGGCTAGTTGCTTATCTTGTTGTATTATTGCATTTTGCAGGATCTTAATTCCTCTTGTAATCTAATCGCACACACACACACACACACATATACACACAAAACATAGATTAGGCAAGCAAAATTTCCTTATGGCAATTTGTAAATCAAGAAGAAAAATAAGCAACAATCAAAATTAGAACTATGTCAAGAAAAATAAGCAACAATCAAAATTAGAACTATGTCAAGATTCTTCAACCAAGCAATGCTTAATTACCTACTTGTTCTCAAATATCCTGGATAAAATGACTTGGGAAGCTTAATATGATGTATGAGTTTTTAAAAATCATACAATCCTTGTTCATCTTAAAAACATCAAGCCTAGGAGTGCCTCAGTGGTGCAGTCAGTTAAGCATCCAACTCTTGATTTCGGCTCAGGTTGTGATCTCAGAGTCCTGAGATTGAGCCCCACGTCGGGTTCCGTGCTCAACATGCAGTCTGCTTGAGATTCTCTCTCCCTCTCCCTCTGCCCCTCCCACTCATACACGTGCTCTCTCTCTCTCTAAAATAAATAAATAAATCTTTAAAAAAAAACAAACAAACATCAGGCCTAATACCCTTATTTTACAAATTGGGTCACTGGTTGAACCCACTGGTTGACAACCTCTCAGTGACCATGCATCTTTTCAGAAACTTGTCCTTGGAATATGCAGTATGACTCACGATAATTATGATCTTTCCTAAAATAAAAAAAAAAAGTTTCATTCTTGCCACATAGAAAGGTCAAACCAGCAGACAACATTCCATTCCTGTTGGAAGTATTATTTATTTGTCCCCAAATGAATGTGTCTGAGAACCCATTCTTCATGGCCTTTAAAATTTTTTAGGACAGCAATAATCTCAACAGGAGTGACTATTGTCATTTTTCCAGATGTGTGAGGAGGGGCATAACCATGGAAAGAGAGTTGCAAAGAAGTCCAAATGCATATGTTACTAAAACAATGGCAGTCTGCATGGAGTGAGAGCTCTCGTCTCTCATCAGACTGCCCCCTCTCAGTCTCTGCTCTGAAACAAGCAGGGGGAATGATATCCTTCCCTTCTCCTCTTCCAGCTAGGTACAATTCCAGTCAACTTCTCCATGTGAGTGTACTGGAAGATGGTTGGAGTGTGAAACAGCAAATGGAGCAATACTCAGAGAAAAGAGGGCATACAGAAGCTCTGAGGCAGCAGAATTCGTCAGAGAGCAAAGGGGAAGGAGAGGGGGCTGGCAACAGAAGCAGAGTCCATTAAAAAATAGCAGAGATAAGAAAAAACAGAATTATGAGCACAGGAGACTGTTTTGATACTAGAGCAGCTGTTTTATCCTGAACAGTGTTCCCATTATCTACAGAATGTGACTGAACAAATCATGAGATGCCATCCTGGGATCTGACTTCCCATGTATCTTTACAATAAATCCACATCACCCAAAATAATCTCAGCATTTCTCTGCTTCTTGCCATCTGGAACAGTGACACAGGAAATGGTGTTTTCCTGGGAGGAAGTTATGCAGTAACACCTAACATACTATTTCCCAAGGCAAGATGTCACTTCCATGAAACCTAGCAAAAGAATACTGATAGCCTGATAAACAAAGCGCTCCTGACGAATAGTACACAAAGATTATACAGAGTCACTTTCCTCTATTCTCTATCAGTAAAACTAAATTGTAAACACCTCAAGGGAAATGCTCATTTCTCCTAACCCACCCTCTCACCATGGTGACTAGTGACAATAATAAAAACAATATTTAAAAGTATACCTGAAACTAATAGAACACTGTATGTTAACTACAGTAGAATTAAAAAAAAGAGAACTGGCACGAGGACATATCAGTAAATATCAGTCCACATTATTCTAAAATGTGTTTTTCACCTAAAATTTATTAGACATTTTCCAAATATTAAAGACACAGAATATCTACGTGTTTTTTTAATAGCCTAGGGTTCCAATTTAATTATCTACTCCCTTACTTATAGAAACAAAGTTTTTTCTTAAAAAAATAGTTTTTAATTAAGGAAACAAAACAAAAAAAGTATTTAAAGAACTATAGCAGTAACTAACCTTTATGGTATGATCACTAAGTTCTAGGTACTAAAGTGAGCATTTTACACATATTAGTTCACTGAAGCCTCTGAACATTGCTATGTGGTAGATATAGGTATTAAATCTATTAAAATAAATTGAAAAACAGAAGATTAAAAAAAAAATCTCTTCAAAATCATATACCCAAAACAGCAAAGAAACTTAAGGATAAATTACAACACATGAGAAAAAATGCAACAGATACAAGGAATTGGTTTATTTTCAAGAGGGGACAAATAAATATATTTTTTTATATATATAAAATGGAATGTTACTCAGGCATAAAAAGGGATAAGATCTTGCCATTTGCAAAAAAACATTGATGGACCTGGAGGGTATTATGCTAAGTGAGATAAGTCAGACTGAGAAAGATAAATACCATAAGATCTCACTTGTATGTGTAATCTAAAAAACAAAACAAATAAATAAAAACCAGAAAGAGACCCACAGATACAGAAAACAAACTCATGGTTACGGGGGCGGGGGGGGAGGGCAAAATGGGTGAAGGGGAGAGGGAGGTACAGGCTTCCAGTTATGGAATGAGTAAGTCATGGGGATGTAAGATACAGTAACAGCGTAGCGAGTCAATGGTATTATAATAGCATTGCATGGTGACAGATGGTAGCTACACTCATGGTGAGCACAGCCTAACGTATAGACTTGTGAAATCACTATGTTGTACAACTGAAACAAATGTAACACTGTGTGTCAACTATACTTCAGTTTAAAAAAAAAGTCATACCTCTAAACAATATAATTACATCTCCAAATCTTAGCTGGTACAAATGGTAATTCTGGTTTAACTGAACATGAAAAGTAGCACAGGATGAGAACTCTGTTTTAAAAATAGAGTGATGCAAATTAAGGGTGCTGGACTTGGCTCAGAAATTCTGGATTTTAACCCCAAATCTACCACAGGTGTGAACCCACCCAAGTCACCTAGTCTTCCCGAGTCTTGGCTTCTTCAACTGTAAAACAGGAATAATAGAATCTGCATTGCCAAACTTACAGTGTTCGTTATAGATCACAATAGATAAGCTACATGAAAATACAATGTAAGCTCTACAGCATTTGCCTAATATAAGGTATGGAACACTGCCAATATTAAAATCAGTGTTCCTCTACCCTACGTAGTTCTGCCTCCAGGGTACCATCTGGCAATGTTTGGAGATATTTATGTCATAACTGGGGACTTGCTACTTGTTTTTTGTTTGGTTGGTTGGTTCTTTTAAAGGTTTATTTATTTGAGAGAGAGAGAGAGAGTAGGGGGAGGGCAGAGGAGGAGGGAGAGAGAGAACCTCAAGCAGACTCCCCACTGAGCACAGATTCCATCACAGGGCTCGATCCCAGGACCCGAGATTATGACCTGACCCGAAAACAAGAGTCGGACAGACGCTCAACCAACTGAGCCACCCCCAGGCACCCCAGGACTTGCTACTTGAACTTAATGGGTAGAATACCTACATTTTCATAAAAACACTCTTCACTCTGGGCTCCAATAATAATCATATGTAAAATCAGGATAATGATCGAAAAATTGCATTCATTTGTGTAGTCAGCATTTTAGTGCAATGTCCAGCATGGTAAAACAATTTCAGACCATTCACATTGAAAATTAAAAACCATAAAATACTTTGAAGATTAATTCTCTAATGTCACACAGTACTTATGATGCAGGATTACCTTCAACCTATGAAAATTCTAAAGGTAATCTAATCAGGTAATATATATATATATATATATATTAGTTTTATTTATTTAACTAATCTTTACACCCACCATGAGGCTTGATCTCACAACCCTGAGATCAAGAGTCGGATGCTCCTCCGACTGAGCCAGCCAAGTGCCCTAAATCGAGTAATATATTTCCAGCTATGCTTTGATGCTCCAGATTAATTTATAATATTCTTTGATATCATCTTAAGAGCTGTATAAATCCTTTTTTATTCCTAATTACATTCTTAAAACATAAAAGAAAAATGAAAAAAACTTCAGAGTCTTCTTCCGAAAGCCACTTTAAAAAGTACCAATGTCATTAAAGGCCAAAGGAAACTAATTTTTAGAGCCACTGTTTAAAATTCTATAAAGCTATTAAAGCTTATCTGTCACCCTAATCCCCAGCCATTGACAGTACTACACAGGCACATTCTAAAAACCTAATACTATAGGGCGCCTGGGTGGCTCAGTTGGTTAAGCAACTGCCTTCAGCTCAGGTCATGATCCTGGAGTCCCGGGATCGAGTCCCACATCGGGCTCCCTGCTCAGCGGGGAGTCTGCTTCTCCCTCTGACTCTCCCCCCTCTCATGCTCTCTATCTCATTCTCTCTCTCAAATAAATAAATAAAATCTTAAAAAAATAAAAACCTAATACTATAGAGTCATATTTAAATATGATACTGAAAGAAACTTTTAAAAATAAGAGCATTATTAAAATCTTAAATATTTCATTATCTTTGTGTTTAGAGAAGAACAAACATCCACTTGTTAAACCTCACCACTAAGCCATATTCCACCTGCCTAAAAATAATGAAGTAAGAAAATTCATTTTTATATCTTTTAAGCTTTCTAATTGACTCAAGGCATATATGAGTGCAAAGAAAAAGCCTTAAAGTTACAGTGCTGCATGAGGAAGAGAAGTTACATTCCAACACAGAGTAGGAGAATGTCTTTGACCCCATCTTTTGACATTAGTTCCAGAATTTTCTGAAGCTGTTAACTTATATTGTTCCTAAATTTGCTGCCTCATTAAGACTTACTAGAATTATCACTTCAATTTGCTACATAACTTTTCTTCATTGCTGAATACTTTCATTTTTCTTGCTTGTCTACAACCATGAAAAGAACCTGAAAAACTGATGACAGAGCAAAACTGGAGTTAAAGTAAAAAATCATCCTCTGGGGCGCCTGGGTAGCTCAGTCGTTAAGCGTCGGCCTTCGGCTCAGGCCATGATCCCAGGGTCCTGGGATCGAGCCCCGCTTCAGGCTCCCTGCTCCGTGGGAGGCCTGCTTCTCCCTCATCCACTCCCCCTGCTTGTGTTTCCTCTCTCACTGTGTCTCTCTCTGTCAAATAAATAAATAAAATCTTTAAAAAAAAAAAAAGTAAAAAATCATTCTCAAATAGAATTTTCCAGGTCTACCAAGTGCTTAACATACACATGATGAGAGCAAATACTTTTACAATTACATATCCCAGAAAAGAACTGAATACTTTTATTATTTTTATAAGACCAGCAATTTTCACATTACAAAATGATGAAATATGGAATTAAATGTTACAAATGCCTTTTAAAACCCCCAAAGAAAATCATACTTTTCCATTAGTATAAAAAATTATCTTATAAAAAATTAATACACTCCTGAATTCAGTTTCTAATTGTTCCCTTGCATTTTTTCAGTGCTGATTTGCCTTATAATATTACCACTCATAAGAAAGCACATAAAACCAACATAAGAGTAAATCCCACTAGAATTAATAATTAATTAAATAATTCTAGCCACATAAGGAACATGTAGGATTTATTATAACTCCATTAAATGTTTTCCTTCTTTATTTTTATTTTTAAACTAATGTATAATTGCAGGTAATGGAGAAACACATGCTTCCATATACTTGAAACTAGGATATTTTTATGCAGCCATTCTAATGCATTTTCCAATTCTATTTCTTAAAAGTATGAAATTATGAATTTCCATTAATGAAGAATTTCAAACATCTAAGAATAGGTTTAAAAATCAAAGACCCATATAAGTCTGAACACTTTTTTCTTTAAAACTGGATGCCAACAAGCAGAGGCCAAAAGTAGAGCAACTCATTGTGAAAGTGCTAGCTTCTAAAAGCTTGTTTGCAGGTCACTTAATTGGAACTTGGAATACAGTCTCACACTGAAACAATGTTATAAATGCTGCTTCTTTTCCCAGGCCTTCCCACAAGAGCTCATAAGTAGTTTTAAAAGAAAATTTAACATGTGATACTTTAAAACAAACAAACAAAAAAGATGTTCATATAAAAGATATAAAGTGTATCTCCTAATCTTGTTCCACCCTACCTCTCCTCCCTGTATTTGTATGTAAGCTTTCTGTTACCTACAAATAAGTCTCTTGAGAGGAAAACATTAAATTATTTGGTTTCCAGATCCCTTGAAACCTGCATTCCCCATAACTACCAGTCACCCTACCCTCAAATGATGGCTGTTAAACTTGTATTATGAAACCACCATTTATAACACTGTATTTCTTATTTGTAAATTATTGTAAATGTTTTGGTGTAACTTGGTATGCCACAAACACATTTCCAGCCCTGAAATGACAGTATTTTCTGTGTGTATATTTCTACTCCTGCCAAGTTCTGCTCTAGGTACTGGGAATGAGCCGAAGAACTTTGTGCAGAAGATGAACACGTTCAGGTTGCAAGGATGATAGACCCCAAAAGGAAAGCTATGAGAGCCTGGTGGTGGCAGGGTGGGGGTGACCAAGGCAAGGTGGTCACCAGTGAAGAGGTCTGAGCTGAGATTATGGCATTAACAAAACCAAGAAGAGAGGAAAGAAAACTCCCAGACAGAAAAAGCTTTCTCTGGGGGCAGAGGGAACCTGGCAAGTTCAAGGCCAGAGGGGCTCAAGGAGAAGAAACAAGTGCCAAAGTGGAGAAAGCTGAACCACACAGAACCTCATAGAACATGGTAAAGCCTCTGTCTTTGTCCCAAAACCAACAGGAAAAGAGTGAAAGATATAAGCAGGTGGGTGACACGTCCAGATTTGGGGTTAGAAAATAATGATCACCTCCATTTTACACCTAAAGAAATGTAATCTACAGAAATGAAGTCACCTGACCTACATCCACAGCAAGTTTGTAGCCCAGGTGGTATTCAAACAAGGCCTGTAGGACTCCAAAGCTGCAATCCTCCCACTTTCTACACAACCACCCAGAGAGTGGGAAGCAGAAACAAAAACTACGGCAGCTTACAGGGTGAAAACTAAGAGCCGTAGACCATTCTCTCTCTTCCCCTTCCTCAAGGCACTTTTGTGGCCCAAATCCTGAACTAAGTGGCAGAAGGAAAGAATTTCTCGACCCCCTTTCATCTTCATCCCCTTCCCCACCACATCACCCCACTGCTCTTCACTGGAAGAGGCAGGAGGCCAGAAGGAGGCGAGGAGAGGTAGGGGACATGAAGGGGACACCAAGCTGCCGTTCAGACTACCACGGGAGCCACAGATGGAGGAGTGAAGGGACACAGACTACAGGAAGGGCCTAATTAAAGCAACTTACAGAAGTGCTTCCCAAACTTCTATACTGATGGAGTGTAGTGGAACAATCTCTACGCTGCAAAGCAAAATAAGGAACCTGGGGTCTCTTCCAATCACAAATCGTGTCCGTGGGGAAGTCACTTTGCCTGTTTCACATTCTGGGTCCTAAGGAACTGGCTTTGGACTGATCAGTTAAGCAGCATCACCTCTCTTCTAACTCCCATATGTGCAGATGATCCTAAATTCCAAAAGAAAACCTGTCCAAATAACTCATAGGTATTTTAATGTACTATATAATATGTAACATAATAGATAATTGCTCATGACATTAAACTCTGTGTCACCTAAACACTTTTAAGGACTATTGTACTGTTAACCCACCACTCTTTACTGGTGTGTTCCAGTAAAATCAAAATCTAATTCATTACTGCATTAAATTCTAAAACCTTGGGGCGCCTGTGTGGCTGTCGTTAGGCGCCTGCCTTCGGCTCAGGTCATGATCCCAGGGTCCTGGGATGGAGCCCCGCATCGGGCTCCCTGCTCAGTGGGAAGCCTGCTTCTCCCTCTCCCACTCCCCCTGCTTGTGATCCCTCTCTGGCTGTGTCTCTCTGTTAAATAAATAAATAAATAAATAAAATTCTAAAACCTTGTATTGCTAGGTAATAGAAATTCTCTTTTTATGTATCTTCTCTCCCCAGCTAAACTGTGGTTTCACGGACTAGAATTTCCTGGAATGTATAAATAATATTTATTTTTTCTTTTGATATTTATTCGATTTCAATTTCATTTGCTTTAAATACTTTGCTTTAAAAATTCATTAGCATCCCCTAGAAAACATTCTAGTTAAATAAAGGGAGAAACAAATGCAAAATGTGCCTAGTGTTAAAAAGAAAACCACAGGGCGCCTGGGTGGCTCAGTTGGTTAAGCGACTGCCTTCGGCTCAGGTCATGATCCTGGAGTCCCGGGATCGAGTCCCGCATCGGGCTTCCTGCTCAGCAGGGAGTCTGCTTCTCCCTCTGACCCTCTTCCCTCTCGTGCTTTCTATCTCTCATTCTCTCTCTCTAATAAATAAAATTTAAAAAAAAAAAAAAAAAGGAAAGAAAACCACAGGCCCAAAATGGAGTCACATGTTAAGAGCCCCATGTCAGCCTACCCAAGACTTAACACCTAACCTAACTGCCCCCCCACGAACGTAGCCAGTCCACAAGGAATTTCCTGGTCAGCACCTTCCATGGGAGGGTGACCTTACGTAAAACGATGGATTCTTTGCTAATAGTTTCCTTCTTTCCTCTCCCTCTCTACCTTTAAAACCCTCTCCTTTTCTGCAGCCTGATGGAGTACTTTTCTCTCTGCCACATGAGATATTGCCCAATTCATGACTTTTTCGATAAAGCCAACTGGATCTTCAAATTTACTCGGAATTTTTGTTGTTTAACACTAGTAAAAGAGATCATAGTCCACAATCAAACAGAAATTCCGATCTGCCTCTCAAATTGCACCAATATGTGAAAACAATCAATCTTCCAAGTGAGCTGCTCTTTCCCACCTCACCGCTCTAGCAGTTTTGATTAGATACTGTAGCTCTCAGCTACGTACAAAAGTTTCTTAGTTTGGGCCAATCAACTGGTCCCATTTCCTATTATTCATACCACATTAATTTTTCAGATTTTTAATAGATTTCTGCCCAAGTTATCACGCAATATTAAATCGGCACAACAATGAGTAATTTTTAAAGAAACTGTGTTGCAATAATCATCGCCTTACACAGGACTAAGCAGCAAGAAATCCTACTTCACTTTCCTAGCAGAGATCTCAGAATCCTCTTTTTCTACCTGGTCACTACTCTCTGCTTCTGAAAGGTTCCCCCATCGTGGCGAGCAAATGCCTAGAGAGAACCACACTTGACACGCCATCTGGCAACGCTTTTCAAAAGGCTTTTGCAAAATTATTATTTAAATATGGTTTTTTAAATAGTATTTCTCAAAATTACTGTTTAAATAGATTCTATTGTTTAAACAGGATTATTTCTTATATAGCCCAACTAAAACGCCACCAAAGACACTTAAGGGCTGACAGCAAATGGGCTTACAAGCATTTAATGTATCTTAAATCTAATTTAAAATAAAACTTTATAGTAAAAGTTTTTAAAAAAAAATAGCACCTCTAAAAAACAAAACAAATGAATAAACAAACAAAAAAGCAGAAACAAATCCATACATACAAAGAACTGATGGCTGCCTGGGGGAGAGGGGTGGAGGGATGGGCAGAATGGGAGAAGGGGTGTGGGAGGTACAGGCTTCTAGTTATGGAATGAGTAAGTCACGGGGATGAAAGGAACAGCATAGGGAATACAGTCAATGGTATTGTGATAGCGTTGCATGGGGACCGATGGGAACTACACCATCCGTGTGACAGTGAGCACGGCACAATATAGATCATCAAATCACCATGCTGTAGAACTGAAACCAATGTAACATTTCATGTCAAGTATACTTCAATTAAAAAAAAAGCACCTCTTTGTTGGTGATCGGAATGGATAGGAAATAGTTGGGTTGATAATCTTTTTGCTTTTTTTTCCTCTTCTTTATTTGATCTTTACTGATCCGTTCATTTTCTTTACTTCTCTCCCAATTTGTGTGAGGTACATCAGTGACTAGAGGGAAAAAGTCAAACAATAATATGTCTGATGTATTTCAACAAAGACAATTTAGTCAAAAAAAAAAAAGGAAACAAGCACTACATAAGTAGCAATCATTCATAATAGTCATTTTGAAGTCTAAAGCAGGAGCTAGGAAAGTACTGTAAAGGAACTCAGAGTAAATATTTTAGGCTTTGCAGATCATATGGTCTTAGTCAAAACCACCCAAGTCGGCTGTAGACACAGAGGATATAGCTGTGTTCCAATAAAACTTTCTTTACAAAGCAGATAGTTAGCCAGATTTGGCCCACGATCTAAAGCACAACCAACAGCCATCCTCTCTCCCAGGACCCTGGGATCATGACCTGAGCTGAAGGCAGACACTGAGTTCTGTTTCCCAATTTTTTTTTCCCCCGTCTTTGGGATCAACTCTAAGAGACCCCAGTGATCATCACACACAATGCCTCGGAAAGGACTGTGGGAAGTCTGAGCTCAACCAACGGCACAATGCCCATGTGCCTACACAAGCCTGAACTCATTATACACGAGGAAACAGAAGCGCAGAAAAACTTTTAAAAACTGTTCAATGTCACAGAGTCAAATCTGGCATTTAGACCTTTTAACTTTCTCCTTCTAGTAAGTTTTCTACTGGATCAAACTGCTTCTCTGTTGAAGTTCTGCAAAACCAAAGGGCAGAAGTAATTTTCCCTATTCTGTTGTTCTTAAAAAAAAAAAAATTTTTTTTATTTGTAAGTAATCTCTACACCCATTGGGGGGCTAAACTTACAACCCTGAGATCAAGAGTTGCATGCTCCAGCAACTTATCCAGTCAGGCACCCCTATTGTTCTTTAAAATATTAAGAGTAGGGGCACCTGGCTGGCTCAGAGAAGCACGTGACTCGATCTTGGGGTCATGAGTTCAAGGCCCACATTAAGTGTAGAGATTACTTAACCATAAATAAACTTTAAAAAGATTTTTAAAAAATAAAAAAAATTAAGAGTAAATAATGTTTAAATAAATGTCACAAATAGTATTTTAGTGCTAACTTCTAAGAAAATTAGTAGAGTATGTTTAAAACTTAAAAACTAAAGGTTTGTAGAAACAGACAGGAGTAACATACTCTAGGAGTAACATACACTTGTGACATCTAGAAGGTAGGGGTAAGTTAAGAGCAAGGTAACCTGGGTAATGAGTCTAACTATATCACTATGAGTTAGGGCAAAATTATCTGGTATGTTTGTGCATCCACTTCACTACCATGTTTCTCAACAATATACCTGATGATTAATATGGTTAAAATGATATATCTTCACAAACAGAGAACATGTGTTTGAAATATAAATTATCAGCTTCTTGTATACATGTAAGCTAGTCAGAACTTTATAAATTCTATCGCTAAGAAAAAGTTTGCCACATTCTCATCTGTATCATGAGCATCATTCGAAGTGCTTCATATGGTGCCATTGGGTTTTATTTCCCACGCAATTCTTTAAATATGGAAAATCAAATCAGTATGTTGTCGAGCTGCTTGTAATTTTAGACATCTAAGAAACAGTCCTACGTTTGATTGTAGTAACAAACCTACTAATTTTATTTTATTTTATTTAAAGATTTTATTTATTTATTTGACAGAGAGAGAGAGACAGCAAGAGAGGGAACACAAGCAGGGGGAGTGGGAGAGGGAGAAGCAGGCTTCACGCGGAGCAGGGAGCCCGATGCGGGGCTCGAACCCAGGACCCTGGGATCATGACCTGAGCTGAAGGCAGACACTTAACAAATGAGCCACCCAGGCGCCCCTAAATCTACTAATTTTAAACAGAAGCCAGAAAATATGCTAATAAAGTACCATATATATTTTAAAGCCACGTCTGAATACATTTCTAGCCCACCTCCATCTGCTCTTAGTAAACCGGTACTCTAGAAATGGAAACCAATTTTAATATAGTCTGGATCAGAGTTTGTGGGTTGGAATCCTGTCCCCAGCCCCATTTACTAGCTGTGAGATCTTCAATTAGTCACAAGAACTCTCTACTTCAGTTTCCTCCTCCATAATTTGAGAATAATAATAGTAGCTACCTCACAGGGCCATTTTTTGAGTGAGTTAATACATGAAAGCTCTTAGACTACTTCCTGGTACAAATTAAGCACTATCATTAGCTATTATAATTATTAGATGTTACCCAGAGCTAAACAGAATTAGGGAGATAAATGTGTATCTGCTAACATCATTTAGAAGACTCCAAAAAGAAATGGAGATGAAGTATAAACTATCCGTTGTTTTTGATCATCCAGACCACTTAAACTCTCTATGATCATGAAAAATGAGTAACAATCTTGAGCAGTTTTTAAAAAATTAAAGATAACACTGAAAAATATTTCTAAAGCAAAACACCCACTTTTTAAGGTAAAATCACAAACCAATTCTAAATAAGTTCCCAGCATCCTTCCTTATATATCCAATTATCCAAATCCGGACACAGGGCTAACCCCAAGCAGCACTGGAAGCTGGGACAGTGAAGTTATCAACCTATGCCTATGTGGGGAAAGTAATCTATGAAAGGAAAAGCATGGGGAACAGCTGCTGGTGAGGCAACTAGTAATGTGTGTTTCAGCCCTGCAGAGGCAGCACTAGATGGTGAAAAGAGCAATGACCCCAAAGACTAGTCTTCCAGCAAGCATCTTTCCATCAAATCACTTCATTTCCCTACCTGAAACTTAAAAAGTTGGCCAATCCATACAGAATAGTTTATTCTAGGTCTGAGGCGTAAAATATACCAGAAGAGCCTGGATCTTCAAAGACTCCTGGCACCATGTCAATTTGAAAGTCCCCTCACTGGCCAAAGATGGCACAATTACAGCATCAGATAGAATAATAACTTCAATGGTGTGAAATACATCAACTACGCTTAAATCCATCAGTTCATTATGATACTCAAAGGAAAAATTAAAAACAAAATTCACAGGTCACCTTTGGATTAGTCTGAAGAACTATTATTCTACAAATTTGGTGATAAAAGAGAAAAAAAATCAAGCATTTATCCTGCTTTTCCTTATAAGCAAAGAGTCATACAGGGAATCAAACAGTTAACTAAGGCAAAGTTCTTCTTTATAGAAATTTTCAGCTAGTAATTCAAAAAGACAGAGTTAAAACATGATCATTTTGAAACCCTTAACAAAGTAATGGATCAACCCAAAGATTATCAATGGATGATCCATTAAATGGAAAGCTGATGGGGAATTTTAATGGATACATCAAGTGACAAGATGGGAAGCCACTGATAAATCTTAACATCACAAAAAGGCAAGACAAACAAACATCATATGCCTCCTGATGTCACACAATAGGAAATTCATAGCATTTTTGCAGCTTTCTTGCCAATATTCCAAAACTTAATCGAGATTCCTTAGTCTACCAGTTTACTGAAATACAAAGGACAGAGAAATACATTAAATGACCATAATATAGGTAGATCAATACAGCCTGATTTCTTCAATAAACACACACACACACACACACACACACAAACACACACACAAAGGGAGATCTATAGATGAAAAAAAAAACTGAAGAGATTTGTCAATCAAATAAAATGTATAGACTTTGGTTCCTAATTCAAAACAGTTTTAAAAAAAATTATGACACAGAGAAATGTGAATACTGACAATATTTGATGACATTAGGAATTACTCTTATTTTTTGTCATGGGATAGATATTTTGGATACGCTTTTTTAAAAAATTCCTTATCTTTTAAAGACACATACTAAAGTATTTACAGATAAAATATATTTGGAATATACTTCAAAATAATCCAGTGAGGAAGAGGTGATAATGAGATGAGGCTCGGTCTACTACTCTACTTTTGAATATGCTTGAAAGTTTCCATAATTAAATATTTTTTTAAAAAACAAAAACAAGAACTAGGGGCAGGTACAGGAGTGGGACAGCTAGATAATCTCTATCTAGTCTCTTCTAGTTATAGTTTTCTCTCATCTGTGATAAAGGTACTAATTTAACACCTGTACCAATTAGGACATTTCATGGTGAAATTAGATAAAAAATGGTGTCCAGTGGTGCCTGGCAAGCTCAGTTAGAAGAGTGTGTGACTCCTGATCTTGGGGTCATGAGTTGAAGGCCCATGTTGGGTGTATAGATTACTAAAATAAATGAATAAATAACCTGAAGAAGAGGAAGATGAAGAAGAGTGTCCAAATTAATAATACAGCTGATTTTATCACCTCTAGTTCATTTCAAAATTAATATAGTAGAAAGAGAATTCTGAACCTATAGTCTACTTTTTCTTGTTTTTCTTTTTTCAAACTGCTAGTACCAACCTACAAGTGGGTTATGAAATCAACTTAGAAGATAATCTAAAAGCACTTTTTTAAAACCTGGAATGGAATGGAATGGGGTGGAAGGGAATGAAATGGAATAAATAGAATAGAATACTATTAGAATGCAGAATAGAATACTGCAGAATAGGATAGAATGCAAGTAGTATAGTTGTACATTGTTTATGGCAGATACAAGCACTGCTCCATGTCGAGGTTTCTGCATACACATGTGTATTGGGTGGCAATGTAAAATGTATCCTTAGTATGAACTAAAACACTGAATCATTTCTGCTGTATTTTACTCAATATGAACAGACTTAAAAACATGGTATTTAGGAGACCACGAGGCTTTTAGCTTTTTAAATTGTTTTATACCTTATCTGTTTAAAACTAAAATGTTCTTCCTGTAGCGACTTATTTTTGCCATTTCAAACATTGCATAAGTCCATTTTACAGACATCCAGAGAAGGAAAACCATAATCTCGGAAGATAATAGTTATAATTATATAAAAACTCTTTAACAGTTCTGGTATCGGGGCACCTGGGTGGCTCAGTCTGTTGAGCCTTTGCCTTCGGCTCACGTCATGATCACTGGGTCCCGGGATCAACCCCACATCGGGCTCCCTGCTCAGTGAGGAGCCTGCTTCTCCCTCTCCCTCTGCTCCTCTCCCTGCTTATACT